ATGAGGCCTCCTTGTAGCCTGGATGGAGGAAAAGCCAGAGAGACTGAAGACATTCTTATCTGTGAATGAGATGTCTTGCTCATGGAGAGGGCCATCAGCACTTCTGTTGATTCTGTGATCGTGAAGAGGTGGTACCAGTGTTCGTAGGTGCTGAGTGGATAATGCTTCTGAACAAGAGAGCATTTGTGTATCACTACTTAAAGATGATTGTGAAATAGTCTCACTTACCTTTCTGGTAGTGAAACTTCTTGCAGATTCTTTGCCCTGCCGTTAAAAAGTTTCTACATTTTACATGGGGAAAACATTCTAAAAAAAGCATTTATATTTTAGTTCCACACTTCTTGTGCTAAAGGGCAGAGCCCCTAATAATGTCAGCCTTTAGTTGGGAGCTTGGTAATTCAGCTCCATAGCAAAACCATTCTGGAATACTCTTAATTTAGGTCCATTCATTTATCAGCTGGTGCCTGTGGTTCAGGTATCAAACTACACAGTTAATGCTGCATTGAAGTGCAGTTTGAAGTCTATTCTAGTCCTCTGACCAATGAGTCATGAAGTTGGCTCCAGATTCTAAATGCATTTTAGAAATTGACAGATTTGAGATACAAAGGAAAATGCTTAGATAAATCCTGCATAAGTGCAACAGAACAATTAAGTCTAAAGCAGCTCACCTTATACCATTAACATAATGTGCTCTTTTCTCATTATGTTTTCCAGTTAATGCACTTTTGTTTAAAAAAAAAAAAAAAACTGGTCAAAGGTTGTTTTAAAGGACCCTCTAAAAAGTCACTTGTAACAGTCTTAGGCAGCATCTATTATACATTTGTATTGTTTAGGTTGCCCAAAATATTGATCCCTGGCAAGTACAATGCAGTTGTCTGTTCTTGGAATTAATTTGATTACAGAAGTAAAAATGTAGAAATGAATTTACTTAGACCAAATAAATCTCATCGTACACCTAGTCTCTTAGTAGGCAATGATTCTTTGCATTTCATATGAGCATGTCATTTGTTCCTTTCTATCCATTTCAAAAATGAAATAGAACAATCAAACCAAGAAGGGTGTTTCCTCTACCTTAGTTCTACCCATGTGAAAACTGTTGCTGGAATGTTTTTTTTTTTTTTTTTTTTTTTTCATGACTGGTATTGAAACCACCAATTTCTGCAATATTCTATAAGGGAACAAGACTCAAAGTTTTTCCAGATTGTTGTTGTTTTTAAAGGAAGCATGAGGTGTTTTAATCATAATTATCAGGAGTGTTAGCCTTGTATCCTTTGCTGAGGAAGATTGTTTGTTAGCTTTACTTCCTCTCAAAACTGCGTAGTAATTTTCCAGGGAGTTAGGATTTCCTAACTTTCCACTGAAGTTAGGATTTCTGGCTGTGTTTATAAACTGAAGCCCTGCTTTCACGTTTGCACTTGCGATTGAAATGTTGGTTAAATATTTATCCCTGTCAACTTTTGCCATGGATTTTCTTTTAGTTTCTCTTTTGCTGACAAAGTGCTTCTCAGATGCAGTTTTCAGTGGACTATCCAGTGAAATGATGTGGAACATCACATGTCCTATTTTTGTGTGTGTGTTTCAGTAGTGTATAGGGGGCCAGACTGAGGCTATGTCTACACTATAAAATCAAGCCAACCTAACTTGTCAGTGTGCAGTCATTGCAGTAATTACTAAGGATATTAGAGTGCATTACACGATTAACCTGGGCTTATTGGGCAATCTTATCGACTACATGCAACCCCCCCTTTTGCTGTCTTTGTATCAGAGGTACCGGGGAGGGGAACTGGGGGAGCCAGTGCTTGTGGGGAACCGGCTGAAAAGCTGGCTTCCACTAAGCATTGGCTTCTCCCCCTCCCCCGTGTGTAAACATGTAACGTCTAGAATTTCCAGTGGTTATACGTTTAAACAAATAAACAATAGTTAACATCCCTAGTAATGACATTACTTGTGCATATCTATACTTGGCTTCTTATGTTGGTGGTGCACATCCTCCTCAGGAGCACTGGCACCAATTGAACTGTCAGTTCAATTGCCTGAAAATATACAACTTAATATTATTGACAATTGACATGATGATTACTAATTGTATAAATAAAACATTGTACTCACGGGCTTTATTTAATGGGATTTCTGCTGCTGCATCTCTTCACGTTTCTTTGACACTTACATCATAACTGGTCAAATCCAGCTTCATGCACACATTCAGCCTATCTTCTGTCTGTCTTATGGCAGGGGTCTGGGGATGTGCAGATGTCTGGGTTGGGATGTATGAGGGGCTCAGGGCAGGGGGTTCATGTGTATGATGGGCTCAACGCTGGGGTGTGGAGGGGTGTAGAAGGCAGGGCCTTGGGGGTGGGAAATAGTATGGGGGGGGAGCCCTGGGACCAGGGCTTTACCTGGCCAGAGCTGGGCTTCTGCACCCAGTGGCTGGATGAGGGACTTGGCCAGGAGAGCCACAGCTGAATTGTGGCCTTCCCTCCTACATGTGTTGCAGCAGTGGGGTGGGAGGCTGCTTCCTGCCCTTCCTCTGGCCAGATGGGGATTTGCCCCAGGGATCAGGACCAGGGACAAGATGCTGCCTGAATATGATCTTGTTAGCCCCAGCACTGGCACACAGAGAAAGCCGCTGGCCACGTGGCCTGCCGGAGAGCAACTGCCCAGCCACCACCAGCTTCTGCAGAGCTGGAGCTGTGGGCAGGGTGGACTGTGTAGCATGTGGCTTGCTGTGGGGGTGCACTATGACCTGGCTTCAGCTCTGGCACACATCTGGGGAGGAAGGGCTGCCCTCAGCCCTGCTTCTTCTGGGGGTGTGGAGCTGTCCCCCACCCACCTTGCCCTGGGGCCCATAGGTGTGGAGACATTCCCCCACCACCATCTTGTCCTAGAGTCTGTGGCAGCTGTGTTGGGTGTGGAGGTGGGCTGGGAGTTCTGGTCAGGAGAAAGGGTGCAGGATCTGGCTGGGGTCTGGCCAACTCCAGCCCTGGGGAGCTACACCATGGCTCAGCTCCAGCTCCACTGCATGGCCAGGATGGGCCACCTAGTGGTTTCCCAGCTGCAGCTCCAGCCCTGGGGAAGCTGGTGGTGGTTGCCTGGCTCCTCCCGGGATGGGGGATGTGGTAGACCCAGCCCATCTCCCTCCCTTCATCTAATGCCTCATCCTTCCTACCACTGAAGTTATTTCAGATGTTGAAATATTTGTTTTATTTAGAAATGAGACTGCTGTGTCACTGAATTACTAAAGTAAGTTCGAGGGAACATTTTTATGCAAGGTAATGCCACTTATCCCCTTCTCTCTCCCACATACTAGTGCACAGAGAGCTGATGTTACTTTTAATCCGGACACTGTCTCATGACACAGTGGTCCCCTAACTCCTGGAGGAGCTGATAGTCCCAAAGTTACAGTTTTCATAATAGAGGAACTAATGGAAAACGTTTTCAAAACAGCAATATATCTCCTGAATTTGCTTCTTGCATGCATCTATGGTATGTTCTTGATACCAGAATTGTCATGTTTAACACTCCTTTTCATTTTGATATTAGTTGAATGCAAACAAAGCTGAAGTATAGATAGAAAGAAATGACAGCTTAAGTCATTATGTGCCCAGCTACTGAAATACTTCTCTGGGTTGTCTCTCATTTAGTCCCAAAGTTAATTGTGCTCCACACAAATTTGGCATCCCTCTCATTATTGTATAAATACAATAGTGTATTTTTGTCAGACATACATTTTCATGAAACAGGTTGTAGTAAGTGTGTCACTAAAAAGAATCCCGCTGCATTTTTTAAATTTCCTTCCTGAATAATATGTCTCTTTTTGAATCTGCTTCACATAGAGTTATGCAGAGTATCGTTCTATGTTTGGGTCTTTGCAGATTGAGAAGTTTGCACAGTAGACATCTCAGTTCTCACATTCAAGAAGTGATTCTTACTGTGTGTGTTGTGGGGGGAAATCTCGCTCCCCTGGGGTACAGAGCCCCCAGAAGGGTCCAAGGCTGGACGTCAAAGCAGTGAGGCAGGAGAGAAACCTAGAAGGAAAACTTTTATTATGCATGCATGCAGGCTGACAGCTACCAGAGTTAGCAGCCAGCCCTGAGAGACAGTTTCAGGGATTCTTTATACAGTATGTTCAGACAGTAGTTGTTGATTGTTTTTCTTTAACATATCAAAGTCTCAGCAGAAGTACTCTGAGATGTTTCTGTTCACTCCAGGAGTACTAGAAGTAAGTTTTACAGAACAAAGGCACATGAGAGTTTACATGACAAATTGTGACAGACTAGGAGTCTTCATGAACTTGAGATAGGTATTGTAAGGGTCTTGATTAGTTAATTTGATTTCTCTCTGATACAGGGAGAGAGGCCTGGAAAACTTTTAACCCTTACAGCAGTTTTCTTTTAGAGAGTTTTTATTTCCTGCACAGTCCCCCCTTTAGACACAATTGGAGTTATTTGATTTTTCTCCCACAGTGTGTCAAGTCTCCATCAATTGAGACTATTTGTTCTTATACTTCACAGGTGACACGTTTACCTTTAATGTTATATACATCATATAAATGGACTGTCACGCTAAAGAAAAAAATCTCATGTCTAAACATTCCTATTCTGCTTTTTTCTCATTCCTTATGCCAGGTCTACATGACACAAGAAATGTGACCTAAGCTACGCAACTCCAACTACAAGAATAGCGTAGCTGGAGTCTACATACCTTAAGTCGATTTTTGCGGCATCTTCATTGTAGCAGGTCGATGGGAGAAGTTCTAATGTGAACTTCCGTTATTGCTTATGGCTACACAGAGTAACAGAGCTGATGGGGTGCCATCAACGGTTGATTTATCAGGTCCTAACTATACTCACGAAAACAGGCATGTCAAACTTGAAGCCTACTGAGGGCTGCACAAACGAAAACTGATAGCTTTCAGGGCCACCAAAGAAAATGTACTTTATCAGAAAGTCGTAATTATTTATTACTAGCTGGAGTTACCTGGTGTTACTCAGGGAACCGGAGGAACAAAATGTAGAAAAACAGTAGGCCATTATCTTTTTTTTGAATGGTAGAAAAGTTGCTCTGATTTCTATAGGGCTTAAAATATAAGCCCATGTCATCCCCGGAGGGGGCAGGAAGGAGTGACCTTGGATGGAGGGGAGGTTACACACGGGAGGGGTTCCCCAGCTCATACCTGGGGCTGCAGGTGCCGCAGGGGGCAGGGCGGGTGCCCGACCCGTTGTGTGCGTGGGAGTCGGGACACTGTGTGCCAGAGCAGGGATGGGGGGGGGGAAAGACGGTCGCTTACATAACTTCACGGGTGGGAGGGGGCGTGTCCCGGACGGCTCTTGGGGGCCACAGGCAGCGGGCACAGGACCTAGAGTGGGTGGGGTGGCCCCTGCAGTCCTGCGATTACTTTGATTTTTATAGCTTGAGTTGGGGCCCAATAGGATCCAAAAGTACCTTTAAACCTTCTCCTGGATGAAAGGTTATCCCATGCAAAGTTTGGTTGCGGTAACTCTTATAGTGTCTAAGTTATTAGTGCACAAACGTACAAACATTCTCCTTTATATATTATAGATTGTTTTATAATATTTTTTCAGGTCTTGTTTTAATATAATACAATAATTTGATGTGTAAAATTATTTGCTCATAAAATAATTTTTAAGTTAAATATAAATTTAAGGTAATTTTTTATATGATACATAACTTATTTTGTTGAAATAAAAACAAGTATAGACCGTGGTTAATCAAATAGAACACACTTCTGTGAAAATTTCAGATACTTTTTAAGTTTGAGGTTTTGCATAAACATATCATTATTCATGCATTTGCAAAAAATGTACATATATTTATTGATATAAAATTAATATACATTTTGTGATTTTATTTGGGAGTAAAATAACAAAATATTAACAAAATAACCATCACCTCTCCTCCAGAGCCAGACACTCCTCATACCCCCATTCTAACCCAATCCCTGTCCGCTCCCCCACAGCCAGGCACTCCCAGCCTCCCTCTTCCCCCCCAACGGTTGCCGTTGCCACCGCCACACACTTCTTCCTCAGGTGCGCTGGGGTGGCATGAGCACAGCGGCCAGCTATGAACGCATGCTGGGTGCCCAGCTCAGAGTGGCCTGGCCTGCTGTGAGCATGTGCTCAGAGCGCCCAGTGCAGCACGGCCCGGCTGGCCATGAACATGTGCTGTGCGCAAAGCAGCACTGGCCGTGAGCAGTCGCCACGGTGCAGAGCGGCCCGCCCAGCTGTGATCTGTACTTGGCCATGTGTTCCGAGCAGTAGCGGGCTGCACTTTATTCCTTTATAAAAATGTACTGGTGGGCCACAAAAAGTTTCCATCAGGCTGCATGCAGCCCACTAAACCCCAGTTTGACATGCCTTCACTAAAACAAATCCTAGAAGATCAAGCTCCAGAATGTCAATCTCTGGGTAAGTGTCGAACTGGTCTTAGAATGAGGCTTGTTCTCATTCTTGGACTTCACCAAACTGTGAGGTAGATTCAGTAGTAATCTTCAATGTGTATTTCATTTAAAATTAGACTTGTAATGCCTCTTAAAATAGTTTTCTTTTGGCTTAATGGCATACCAAAACACAGCTGCAGACATTGTAGCTGTTCTGCAATCAACTTCCTTTGGGGAAAGTAGCACCTTCACTTGAACAAAGGAGCTTTTATGATTCCACTGTAATGGTAGTTGAGACATCTGCTAAAACTGCAACTGGGCCTTTGTAAGGTGAAGAAGATTGAAGTCTTCTTATAGCCAGCTTATGGCTTCTCTGGATCTGGTAGGGGTACCTTATCAAGTGGCTTTAGAATTCTGGACTTAATTAGAGCATTCTAGCTGCTATAGGTGTGGAATATGCCCAGTTAGTGCACAGCCCTGACTCAGGGCTTTAATCTATAAATTACGTTTCATAAATGCATTGTCATCCTGCAGGAAGTACACCTCCAGATTCCAGTAAAAGTCATTTTGCTTTTACTCTCCTCCAACATTGCCAAAAGCTTGCGTCAATTGTTTAAAATTCCTCCTATCACTTCTTCAGTGTATCACTTATACTACACTGATCTCCCAACTATTGTAGAACCTGTATAAGCATACAGGAAAGCACTGTCCCTGCCACAAGGAGTTTATATTTAATGTCAGCTGGAGTGTGAGAGAAATGGTCCAAGTGGAAATTTGCCATGGATAATTATCAAAGCCACTGAGTCAATTGAGAGACAGTTTCATTTTCAGAAAGTGACTAAGAGTTTCTCTGTGCCCATAGATTGTACTTCTAGTGTGGACACAATCATACCAGCAATGAAGGAGCTTTATGCCAATATAGCTGTTTCTGTATGGGAATGGCTTAAGCTCTTCTGGTATAGGGCACTTTCATATTGGTATAACAACATCCTCACTAGATGTGTTACCAGTAAACTGCAATTACAGGAAATATCAGTTTAAGAAACTGTTCCCTTAATGGAATGTTTGTGCCGCTATAAAAACTGTGTAGACCTGGCTTTGGCTACTGAGGCAGCCGAATGCCTAAATCACTTTTGAAAATGGGACTTCAGTGCTTTTGAAAATGTTAGTAGTTAATACCTCAATACCTTTCGTCACCATGCAATTTTGACAGGTGCCCTGCCCCCTGACGTCCCCTACACCCACCCTCCCCATGACGTCAGGGGACGTCCCCTGGCCCTTCCCTCCCCCTGACGTCCCCTACACCCACCCCTCCCTGACAAATCTTAGTGTACACACACGGTAGCAAAAAAGCCCTAGCAGTTCCACACACCCCAAACACACAAACGGCAGCAAAAATAAAATAATAATAAAAAAAAGAAAAACCCTAGCGGCAAAAAAAAAAGGGGGGGAAAAAAAGCCTATTACACATACACACAGTAGCAAAAAAGCCCTACCAGTTCCACACACACCCACCCCCAATCAGGCAATAATAAAATAAGAAAAAGAAAAACCCTAGATGCAGAAAAAGCACTAGCAGTTCCACACACATCCATCCCCCAATCAGGCAAAAATAAAATAATAGTTCATAGGGATGACCAGTGTGTTTGTCTCTGTAATTCAATTACCAAAAAAAAAAAAAAAAAAAAAAAATCTATTACACACACACACACAGTAGCAAAAAAGCCCTAGCAGTTCCACACACACCCAACCCCCAAGCAGGCAAAAATAAATTAATAAAAGAAAAACCCTACCTGCAGAAAAAGAAAAGGGCAAAAACCTATTACACACAGTAGCAAAAAAGCCCTAGCAGCTCCACACCCACCCACCCCCAAACAGGCAAACGGCAGCAAAAAAAAAAAAATCCTAGCACGCCCCGGCACAACAAGCCAAAAAAAGCCCTCCTAGTAGCCACACGGACAACGGTAGCAAAAAAAAGAAACCACCCTAAAATACAAAAAGCCCTAGCAGTTCCACACATACCCCCAAGCAGGCAAACGGCAGCAAAACAAAAAAACCCCTAGCACACCAAAGAAAGAAAAGGGGTAAAAGTTGTCAGGGAACAAAAGAAAAAAAGTAAACTTTACTCACCCAGCTCCCGCAGCAAAAGAAAGAAGCTACAGTTTGTGAGCCTCCTCACCCCCAGCCGGGCGCATCAGCTGACCGGGAATGACCAATTACAAATGACTATGGTTTGACCAATGAGAGCCCATGTTCGGGTTAGCCAATTAGAGGGCCGGTAGGCTGGTTCACGGGCCAATCAAAACAAATCTTTACCCTGCCCGGCACACCGACTTGTTTTAAAAATTAAAAAGCTTGTTTTGTACCATCAACCCCGTTTAAAGTGGTTGGTAATTTTCAGGCTAAGAAGAATAAAAGGTATAGCTGAAACACGGTTCTAAGCAAAAATAAGGAAGATAAACACCAACTGGCGGGTAAATTCTTAGGTTAAAATGGGGGAGGAAAAAAGGGATAGCCAAAACACGGCTCTAAGCAAAAATAAGAAAGATAAACACCAACTGGCGGGTAAATCCTTAGGCTAAAATGGGGAAGGGATAGCCAAAACGTAACTTTCAACAGCGGTTTAAAACGTTCTGTTACTCAAGGACACAACAAAAGTAGGAAAAATAAAATAAACACGCAATTAAAAAAAGTATAAAGTTTACGCCAACGAGCTTTAAAAAAAATCGGGGGTAAAGCAGCCTAAAAAGAAAAAAAGGGGCAAAGCAGCCTAAAAATTAAAAAGAAATACCGAACAAAGAAAAAAGCGGCGGGAAACCCCTCAAAAGAATAAAAGGGGGGAAAGGAATAACCCAGCATAGCTTTCAGTAGCAGTAAAAAAATAAACACCAGCTGAAAAACGGCCCCGTCACACAAAATCAAAGCCACATGTGCAACAAAAGTAGGGAAAAGAAAATAATCACGCGCTGAAAAACGACCCGTCACACAAAAGCAAAAAACAGATGCCCAGCAAAAGTAGAAAAAACAAAATAAACGGCGGGGTAGCGCATGCAATTAAAAAAAGTATAAAGTTTACGCCAATAAGCTTTAAAAAATCGGGGGTAAAGCAGCCTAGAAATAAAAAAAATACCAACCAAAACAGAGAAATTTTGGGACCCTTTAGGATGGCTTAAAATTTTGACTATGGAAAGCAACACGATGGTAAGAGCTTTTTAATTTGCGCGGGCGACTACGCTTTGTATGCTTGGGGTTTAAAAGTTAATAACCGCTTTTAACTCAGATATATTTTATGCCCGGTGTTGTTAGGACTTAAAAGCTAACAACTGCTTTTTAACAGGAGGACGCCTTTTTACTGGAACTGTCCGAGGCCGCCCTGGCCGCCTTACATTTTGGTAAGTTTGGGGTTTGTTGTGCAAAGTTACAGCGGCCGTCGGTAAAACCTAAGGAGAGGGGGTAGGCTTGTTTTACAAATGTTACAGGCGCGGATTGTAAAATCAAAGAGCTTTTTTTGTTTGTTTTATTTAGATTCGGCGGGGGAACAACCCGGCGCTTTATCCGCTACCTGACCAAGAGGCCGTGCGAGGTGGGGTGTGCGGGGGAGAAGGGGAGGGGGGATTACTTTGTGACAGACGGGGCCCCTTTACCGTTCCGCCCCTTTTTTTGGCTTGATTTTTAACAATTAGTAAAGGGCTTGTGTTAAAACAGCTTGTTTGTTGATAGCTTGCTTAATTGGTGCGTTCCCACCCCGTTTGATTTTTTTAATGGCTAGTAAAGGGCCGGTGTTAAAGCAGGTTGTTTGTTTGTTTGTGTGTTGATAGATATCCCCGCGGCCCTTTTAGAAAAAGAAGAAAGGGTGCAGAGATCCCTGAAAAAGACCAAGAAAGCCGCTTTCAAGAGCAACAACACAGAGACCGGAGCCCCGGATCTCGAGCAACCCAGCACGTCCAAAGCCGGGTTCCGACAAAGCGAGCCGGGGGTTAAAAGGGTGGGGGGTGTCGCGCCGGGGGTCGGGGGTAAGCGTTGTAAGGGGGATAGCCCTAAGCAGCCGGTGTCGGGCAAACCGGCCGACGCACAAAAGAAGGTCTTTGTAAATGGGGATAATAACAAAAAACCTAAAAGCAGGGACCTAAAGGACCTTTCGCAATGCGTTATGGAGTTATACGATCTTAGCATTCGATTCAGAAGCATTCATGAGTTTATGAGGGAGCTGACAGAGAAAAAGTTTCCCAGGCTGGCTTTTGAAGTGATGCAAAAGCAGTACTATGTAGGAGAATTCGGAAATTTAGCTCGAAAGCTGCTAGCTACGAGACGGGAGGTGGAGATAATGGAAAACTGGATGCAGGGGGGAGGGCTCGAGTGACTAACTATGAAAGCTTAAAAACGGGCAGAGGGGGTGGGGGGAAAAGTGGGAAAAAGCTAAAAGGCTAAGAAGGGTTATGGTAAAAAAAATTTAAAAAGCCAAAGCGTTTTTATGAAAAGGCTCCCCAAACCCGGAAGGGGGGTGGAGCGCCACCCCCCGCCCGAGCCCGGAAGGGGATTCGACCGCCGCCTCCCTCCCGAGCCCGGAAGGGGTTTTGCCCATAAACCCCCCAACCCCCGGTCCTGAGCAACTCCCAGTCCTGACGAGGTAGATGCTCCCGAACACCCCCAGGTGTATTTGGAGCGGGTGAGGCACTGGATAAGACAGCATAGAGGCTTTAACGCTTACGAATATTACCAGGAATTTCGATTTGCTAACCTGGACAGAATAGCGGGGTTCGCAGAGGCCATGGTCGCTATTGACGCCGCTATTCAAAATTTGCTAGACGATATTAACACCCAGGCGGGACCCGAGGATTTCGTACAGTTGCGCTTAGACGCCCAGGGCCTCAATCAGCCCCTCTTTTCTTTGAGGAGGCCTCGGGAAGATTTAAACACCGCAAATTTTTTGAATAACCTTGTTTCGGTGTTGCAAAGTAATGCGGAGCTTGTGGGAACAGGCGTTTTAAGACTAGTCGTGACGATTATCAGAAACAGGGCGGCGGGGCGGCGAGGTCCTTAAAAACCCTCATGTACAGTAAAATCATAGGAAAAAATAACATTTAATCGACCTACGTAACCGGGGAAATAACTTGTGCTTTGCCGGCAGCGTGCTGGGCCTGTTATCGAGTGAAAAACTTACAGACGGCCAATTACTAGAAGGGGCCAGGCGTCTTCACCAGGAGCTGGGGTTTTCGTCCCAAAAAATGATTAGTTTTACAGACGTGGGCTCTTTCGAGGAGCGCTTAGGCGTGACGATCGCTGTGCTGTGTCACAAAAAGGGTCATTGGCGCTTTTTTACAACCGGGGGCGCGCGACACCCCAAAACCGTATTTGTATTGTTGCATGACAAGCACTATTACGGCATTTTAAATATTAAAGCCTTTATAGGGGCGTCGTATTTGTGCAACTACTGTTACGCCACGTACAGTCACAAACACCAACACGCCTGTAAAGGGCACTGTCATACTTGTGATGACGCCGAGTGTTGCGAGGTGGATGCTGAAAGAAAGCACTGCCCCAGCTGTAAGCTATTTTGCCGTTCCGAGGCCTGCTTAGACAGACACAGGGCGCTGGCGGCGGCCGGTAAAGTCGATTGTAACACCAGAAGCCTGTGCGATAAGTGCGGCTTCTACGTTGCTAAAAATCACAAGTGTAAAAGCAAAAAGTGCCCTCAGTGTTACCAAAAGACAGAGGCCGTGGGGGGCCACGAGTGTTACATGCGTAACATCTCGTCTCCGGAGGAGGGGGAGGACTATGTTTTTTACGACTTTGAATGTATGCAAGAAATGGGGGTGCATGTGCCAAATTATGTGTATGCCTTACACTTGAATAAAAAAGACAGCTGGGAGTTTAAGGGCATAGATTGTGTCAGCGAGTTTGTACGAACCTTTATAGACAAGCGCTTTAAGAACTACACTTTTATCGCGCATAACGCTAAAGGTTACGACGGTTATTTTATTCTGAGACAGCTGATTAAGGAAAAAATGCCCGTCAGCCCCGTCACGCAAGGCGGGAAACTTATGTGCGTTACGGTAACGAATTTAAACATTAGGTTTATAGATTCTTTAAATTTTTTGCCCATGAAACTTAGCAAGTTACCCAAAGCTATGGGGTTCCAGGGTGTTAAGGGCTATTTTCCGCATTTTTTTAACAAGGTCGTGCCCATGAAACTTAGCAAGTTACCCAAAGCTATGGGGTTCCAGGGTGTTAAGGGTTATTTTCCGCATTTTTTTAACAACGCCAAAAACAAGAACTACGTGGGCCCCATGCCCGGTGTAGAAGCCTTTGGCGTAGAGTACATGATGCCCGAAGAACAAAAGGACTTTCTGAACTGGCACCGGCACCACCGCCAAAACGTTAAATTTTTTGCCCATGAAACTTAGTAAGTTACCCAAAGCTATGGGGTTCCAGGGTGTTAAGGGCTATTTTCCACATTTTTTTAACAAGGTCGAAAATCAAAACTACGTGGGCCACATGCCCGACGTAGAAGCCTTTGGCGTAGAGTACATGATGCCCGAAGAACAAAAGGACTTTCTGAACTGGCACCAGCACCGCCGCCAAAACACGTTCGATCTGCAAAAAGAACTGCGCTATTATTGTCAAAAAGACGTTGAGATTTTGCGCAAGGCCTGTGACCGGTTCAGAAAAGAAGTCATGAGGATGACAAAAAAACAAATTGTTAAAAACCCCGGGCAAGATAACGAGGAGGTGGTGACTAAGTGCATAGACCCCTTTCAGTACCTCACGCTAGCGTCGATCTGCATGGCCATGTACCGGTTTAACTTTTTACAGCCGCGCACCATAGCCCTGCTGCCGCTAGACAATTACCATAACCAACAAAAAAGATATTCCACACTGGCCATTCAGTGGTTGCTGTACGTCTCTCACACAGAAAACCTTTACATACAGCACGCTTTGCAGGACAGGGAGCTTAAAGTGGGTTCCTACTTTTTAGACGGGTACGCCGAGGTAGAGGGTAAACCGACGGCCTTTGAATTTAATGGTTGTTTTTTTCACGGTTGTCCGGTTTGCTATTGTGAAAACGATTTCAGCCATCTGCTGGAAGCGACCTACGGCCAGCTGTACAACCGCACGATAATTAAGACCGAGTTTTTGAAAAAACAGGGCTTCGAGGTGAGGACCTTGTGGGAACACGAATGGCAGGCCATGCTGGCTAACGATAATCGGGTGGGGGCCTTTTTATGAGAAAAAAAGTTACCGTCACCTTTGATTCCCAGAGACGCCCTTTACAGGGGTAGAACCAACGCCGTTTGCTTGTATTACAAGCCGCGGCCCGGGGAGCAGATTCATTACTACGATTTTAACAGCCTTTACCCCTTTGTTAACAAAACTAAGCGTTATCCCGTGGGACATCCGGTTATCGTGTATAAGGATTTTGGGGACATCAGACAGTACTTCGGTTTCGCCAAGGTTAAAGTGTACCCCCCGAGAGGGCTGTATTTTCCCGTTTTACCCTACAGGCTCGGCGGTAAGCTCACCATCCCCCTGTGCGCCCTGTGCGCGGAAACAAAACAAGAGGCCCTTTGCGCTCACAGTCGGGAGGAGCGGGCTTTAACGGGGACCTGGTGCACGATAGAGCTGGTGGAGGCTTTAGACAGGGGCTACGCGATCGCGGAAATTTACGAGGTGTGGCACTTTAACGTCACCTCGGACACCCTGTTTTCAAACTATATTAAATTGCACCTGAGACAAAAACAGGAAGCCTCGGGGTTCCCTCCCTGGTGTACGGACGATGTGAAAAAAATACAGTATGTTAAACAGTATCAGGAAAAAGAAGGCGTGTGCCTGCGCCTAAATAAAATTAAGGTTAACCCTGCAAAAAGACAAATTTCAAAACTGTTTTTAAATTCCTTGTGGGGAAAATTTGGCCAACGGACAAATTTAACTAACACCAGCATCGTGACGAATCCGGACGAGCTCTTCAAGTACGTTTTT